CTCCACCTGACTCTGCCCTTGACATGTGTGGATTATTACAATTCAAGGTGAGATTTGGGTTAAGACACAGCCAAATCATATCATAGACTATATGGTTATATTTCATTCTTTACATCTATATTTCTTGGTGTGACTAAGCTAGAAGTTGCAAGAGTTTTATCAAAGGATATATCAGTTATTCTTAACATAAATATAAAAATAATTTAGACTGCAAGTTCCCACCCTTGCCCAGTCACACTTGCTTCTAGTGTTGATGACCCACTTTATAACTTTTAAATGGGTTAGAAAATCACTGTAAGGTTGGCTAATTTAGTATCCACTTTGAGATCTTTGTGAAACTACATCCAGAAACATGTTGATGACTTTCATTATGACTTCTAATTATTAGATAAGGATTTTGTTGCTTTGACTTAAGCAGTTTGTTATGGCTGGAGCACAGCATAAGAGTGATTGAACTATGCAGCACAGCAGCAATCATGGTTGAAAAGGTAGAGAGGAGCTTCTTCATGAAAGCTCACTTAAAAGAGCTCGCATGGTATCATAGGCACTGGGAACCCTTGAATGGTTGTGAACAGAAAAACTGATATCTTTGAGAAATGTAAATGCAGGGGGAACAAAGTAGATGGACTATGAGAACATTGATCTGAATCAGCGGACTCTGAGTCTGGATTAAGGGACATAGAGTATAATGGGTAGGCTACTGAAAAATGGAGATAAATGACACTAAAGGACATTGCAACTAAGAAATGACAGTAGCCACAGGAGGTAGGTAATTCATTGATGGGTTACCAAGGTGTAGATGACCTGCTTAAACGTTTAGGATTTGTCTTAATTTTATTGATTGGGTGATTCCATAATGTTGATTCTGTTAACCAAAATAGACGCTCTAGGAGGTAAAGGAGATTTTTGTTGGGAGCGGTGGGAGGAGTTAGGGAGGATGATGAATGGAGTTTTGGAAACACTGAGGTTAAAGTGCCTATGGAGAAAACCAAAAGCTGGATATATTAATTTAGAGCTGAGAAAACACGGTAAATATAAAACACATTAATACTGTGTTGATGAAATGTAAGCCATACACTTAAGAAGAGGTTCTTTTTAAACCAAAGTCAAATGTAGGTTGTTTTATTGTAAATATCATCAAAATCCACAACAGCAGAAACATATTAATCATTTTGAAATTTAAAAATCCTTTAGAACTTGAGAAAGAGTATTAGAAATGCATTTATATCACATAGAAAGTCAGTAGCAAATACAAACTAGACAAGCAGGACATAGTTCTTTTCTGGCATGCCTGAATAATAAAAATATTTATCAATTAAAATGTCAATATCTGTCTTTCTGGAACACCTCCAAACCTGAGTCAACAAACATTCTTTTGGGATTGGTTCTGATTGGTGTAAGAAGAGAAATACAGCATTTTGTTTTTTATTTTGTTTATCTAATCTCAGGGAATGATAAACAAAGGGCAAAAGTGACAGAAAAAATTAGATGTCCTTGAATTTTTTTAGTGGTTGCTGCTGCATTTCATGTTTCATTTTTGTTAGATCATATACATTAGAAAAGAATGACAAAGTTTAGAGAAGAAATATGTACGTACATAGTATCAGAAATAATTTTCTTGTATTGACTCATTTAATATGGTTGTACTTATATTCAACCAGAAGGTCAACTCTTTTGCTATAAGGTTCTCACACTGCTAACAAGAAATGGCTTGTTTCCTGGTTGCAGGTCATGAACAGCACACAGTGTCCCTTCTAGGCACACTGGATTATTGATCACTGCACAGATGCAGGCTAATCAGAATTGCACCTGAAATCACTTGTGCAATTAGTGATGCAAGAGTGATCACAGGAATCAAGACCGGGAGCCAAGGGAAAGGAAAACAGGTGCACAAAGAAGCAGTTCAGATGGGAGACCGGGAAAGCTAAGGGGAAAACTGGGAAACAGAGTCTGGAAAACTCACAGATTGACTGATACCCAGGGGTAAGAGATGGGACTTTGATAGGAGTGGTGCCTATGAATTAGGGGAGGAAGGAAGAGGTGAGATCCTAATGTTGGTAAAAGTATAGAGACAAAGGGAGCCAACTAAGTGGCCAGAAAATAGAAATGGAAAGCAAAAATGAGACTTAATTCTTTAGTCAGGGAAGCAAAGCCACCAGGAAAACTTGAGAAAGAGTAAGAGAAAGAGAGGGAGAAAATATTAGATGATATTTTGATATTTTGATATACTAGAGAACAAAATATTATTCTCCAGTATAAAAAGAACAAAGTAAGAAATATGATCTATTGGATTCCTATTCACAATGAAAATTATCAAACAGTAAGTTGTCTCTTAGACAATGCTACTAGAAGTTACTTCTGTAGTTGCCTTATTGTTCATTTAATTTCAGTTTAACTGAAGGGATTTTACCCTTTTCCTTCCTTCTACGTGGTCACTCTGCTGTTCAAAGAGTAAGCACCATTTGTTTAGGTAAAGCAATTGGTGTTGCAAATCCTTCCAATATACCATCTCAGAGGGCTGCTAATATGATGAACTGTACAAGGAACACAAAATTTTAGATTGGCTGTTCTTGTGTATAGGGGTAACCTAAAGCTAGTAATTATACCCCACAAAAGAAAATAAATTCTTATGACCTCTTGGATCCCACCTGAAATATCTCATAATAAACAATCAAATAAATAACAAGCAAACAAAAGTAAACAGCAGCCTCCCCCAGTTGCAGTGACCTAAAATATTTCCTAATCTGAATTTCCTCTCAGGGCAAGAAACCCTTCCATAGGCTTCCTTGCAGTCTTCTGCGCTGGAGTGTGTCCCACTGACTTTGGTTGTCTATCTCCCTACGAGAAGGTAACATTCTGAAACTTAGTTTAAATACTACTGGGTCTTAGAATCTTTTGTAGGTAGTTGCTGAAACTTGAAGTTGAATAACACTTTGAAGTACTATGTTACACTGCATTATGAAAACCTTCATTTTGTAGCTGTCTCTTCCTCTGCCCAACATGTCACACAAATATAGAAGAAACAGAATCAGCAATACCTAAGGGGAAAAAAGGAATCATTGGTCTATTTCCTCTTTAGATGCTTTTGAAATTGTAAAATAAAGCAATTTTTCATTTGGGTTCAGAAAGAGTTAGTACCTACTAAGAAAATAATGTTAATACTTATCACAGCTTGTCCATGTAAACATGGTATCATCAAAGGCAGATATTAGAAGAGATTAGGCATATTAGAAGTATGCCTAATATTTTCGTTTCAAGAAACTAAAATAATTTTAAAGATTTTAAAAATCGACAACAAAAACTACTTGTTAACTGAATAAATGTATGCATCTGGAATCTGTATTGAACTAATACATTATTTCTTAGAGGCAAAATAACTTAAGAAATTATTTTAAATGCAATTTCATAACTCAAATTCTAAAATTTGAATGTGGGTAAAACTTTAATAAATCACAAGTGTGCTATGCTTTCTTTACACACAAGAACACAGACTGCAACATCATGGCAAAAGCAATAACTAGCCTATCCGAAGACTGGTTTTTATTGTAACTTACCATATCTTCGAAATCTCTTGCAGCTATGAAATACTATCTGCCTTATACCATTGTTCATAAGAGTAATATGACATCATTGTAACTTTCAGGGCATATTCACTTTCAGGAAGAATTTCAATTCTTGTATGATCACTAACGAGGCATGCCCTTAAAGATTTATATTATGAAAGCAGGTGGAGAGCAGAAATGATCTCCACTCACCCTTAGTAGCTGAGGGATGGAGAAAGGCTGTGGTGAGGGATGTAGTTATAACTGAGGCAATTATAACCAATATTTGAATTATGTTATTTTAACACTCCTGTCAGAGGTTTGAAAGCAGTCACCCCTCAGCCCAAATCCAAGATCCACCACTGCTGCAGTCAGACATAATATACGTTTAGCAGCAAGAGTTCAATGATTAGCATCAGTAATTTTTTTTTTTTTTTTTTTTCTGAGACAGGGTTTTGTTCTGTTGCCCAGCTGGAGTGCAGAGACCTGATCTTGGCTCACTGCAACCTCCGTCTCCCAGGTTCAAGCGATTCTCCTGCCTCAGCCTCCCAAGTAGCTGGGATTACAGGCGCGCACCACCATGCCTGGCTAATTTTTGTATTTTTAGTAGAGACGGGATTTCATCATGTTGGTCAGGCTGGTCTTGAACTCCAGACCTTGTGATCTGCCCGCCTTGGCCTCCCAAAGTGCTGGGATTACAGGTGTGAGCCACCGCGCCCGGCCAACATCAGTAATTTATCTGCAAGTTCCAAAGATGTACAAGCTCCCAGTAATGCTGAAAAGTGGAAGCCTGATGGGGTTGCTAGCGCTCTGGCCAGTATATTTCTGTGATGTTGACTTTTTTCAATGAATAACTTATTAAAACTGTCTCATCAGGGTGACAGAATAGATCACTCATGAACTCTCATGGATTCTGCCTTATGGAATGATTGGATAATAATCATTAAACATAAACTTTCAAATTTTTCTGTAACTAATCAGTCTCACAATCTGAAAAATTCTGCATTTTAAAAAAATTGTATATATGTTGGTACAAATTATAATGAGAAATGACATGATTGCTCTAATATGTAACTCAGTTTGGGTCTAGCTTGATTCAGAAAATACGCTGATTTCTAAACCAAAAGTTTTAGAACATAGGTTTGAATATAGTTTTATAACATAGTTAAAATTCTTAACCAGCTATTTTAGTTTGGTTAGTGGTCCATTTAAAAACTTGTCATTCAGGCTGGGCATGGTGGCTCACGCCTGTAATCCCAGCACTTTGGGAGGCCGAGGAAGGTGGATCACGAGGTCAGGAGATTGAGACCATCCTGGCTAACATGGTGAAACCCTGTCTCTACTGAAAATACAAAAACAAAAAATTAGCCAGGCGTGGTGGTGGGCCTCTGTAGTCCCAGGTAATCAGGAGGCTGAGGCAGGAGAATGGTGTGAACCCGGGAGGCGGAGGTGGCAGTGAGCCGAGATCGGACCACTGCATTCCAGCCTGGGAGACAGAGTGAGACTCCATCTCAAAAATAAAAAAAGTTGTCATTCAATAAAAAAGCATGTTTGGTATTTGCCTAAGCCTCTCAATTCTAGTGGGTGTTTTGCTAGAATTTTGTAGATGGCAAGGGGCATATTAAGTCACAAACAATACTAATGCTCAGTTTCAATATATTTGAAAACATAGAAAAACTTTTGATAGTCATTGAGCAGATATTACAATACACAAATTAAGAAAACGTTATAGTTATGAAATGTAAATTTGGAACAAGAAGACATTTCTGCAGGAGTCCACTCTCCTAAGCTTTGTGTTTATCTCGTTTTTAAAGTAATTAACCTTGGTAAATTATTACTTTATCTTATGTTTTAAGATATACATGTAACATATATTTTTTACTAAGGTCCCTCTTCCTTTTTCAAATACTAATATGTTTAACAGTTCCTCTTGTAAAATACTTTTTTTGTTCATCATTTGGTTAAAGGACAAAAACTATTACTGCTAAAGTGATTTGAGTATATTGTAACTCTAAAATATTCAAATAATCTCCTTAATATTTATCTCGAGGTTCTAAACACAAATTTATGACTTACCACAAACATTACTTCCCATTTTGACATGGGCGTAACCATCTACTCCCCATGAACTTCCCCAAGAATTCCGCACAATCCAATATGGAGTGCTTCCTACAATGAAACATAAATGGTAACAAATTCTGAAAACTCAACTTTGTTATGAATGTTTAAGTTTCTTTATTTTAAGTTGGATTCTTGATAAGGATAGTAGCTCTGAGAAGAAGATTAAAAATGTAATGTAACTTAAACTACTTTATTTTAACTAAGTAAACCTGAGTAGTACTTCAGGATACACTCCAGTCAGTAGAAATATATGCTTGAATTCACTTCCCTTTACACAGGGACTGCATAAAATGAAAACAAACACCAATTTCCAATGAATGAGAAAAAGAAACAAAGAACTGATACATACATATGATAAAATAATATGCACTTATCTTTTCCCAACAATTATTCTAAATATTCCAGATAGTTTTATATTGATAAAAATTATCATCATTTTAACAAGATATCCACCCAAAAGTTGACAGGTGGAATCTGACAAGACATTTATATTGGGAACAGGTCCCCCAAATCTGGCCATAAACTGGCCCCTAAACTGGCGATAAACAAAATCTCTGCAGCACTGTGACATGTTTGTGATGGCCATGACGCCCACGCTGGAAGGTTGTGGGTTTACCGGAATGAGGGCAAGGAAAACCTGGCCGAACCCAGGGCAGGAAACTGCTTAAAGGCATTCTTAAACCACAATAATAGCATGAGCAATCTGTTCCTTGAGGACATGCTCCTGCTGCAGATAACTAGCCAGACCCATCCCTTTATTTCAGCCCATGCCTTTATTTCCCATAAGGAATACTTTTAGTTAACCTATAATCTACAGAAACAATGCTTATCATTGGCTTGGAGTCAATAAATATGTGGGTAAAGCTCTGTTCAGGGCTCTCAGCTCTGAAGGCTCTGAGACCCCTGATTTCCCACTCCACACTCTGTATTTTGTGTGTGTGTCTTTAATTCCTCTAGTGCCACTGGGTTAGGGTCTCCACGACCAAGCTGGGCTCGGCACATTTACACCTATAAGATTGTTGAGAAGTTGTGAAGGTCTTATGAGGACTTAGCCATAGCAGAACCAAATTTCAACGTTCTACAGGATGGTGATCATGTTGCGGTCAGCATCCAAGCTGGAAAGCAATCAACTGAGTCTTATCAGCACTTACCTGTTTTATCAAACCCAGTTATGAGAACTGCATGATTTGCTTCTCCACTAGAGCAGTGATGCTGTATAATGCCTCCCAGATAATCTTGCCAGCTCACTGCATCTACTATGACTACCAAAGGGCCAAAGGTAAGAAGTGCTTTTGCCATTTCATCTTCTTGGTTACTACCAAAAGAGGAAATATTTGGTTAGAAAATTTAGTTTTTAAGGTAAAAATAACAATGATCTATACAATCTGTGTATGATTCTGAGTAGGTCTGGTTGCAGTTACAAAGGACCTAAACAATGGAAGCTAAGTCAGAGAGATTGGTAGTCTATGGTTGGGATAGGGTTACAGGATATCAAGAACCCAAGCTCTTTCTCTATCATTGTGTTGCTATTCAAAGGTCTCCATTTTCAGGGTCCATTAATGGTCCAAGATGGCTGCTGGGACTCCAGCCATTTAACCCATATTTAAGACAGTAGAAAGGAGAAGTGGTACATCTCTGTTGAAAAGACTTCCCAGAAATAACACGCAACACTTCCACATATATCTTCACGGATTTCATTGGCCAGAACTCAGTCATATGACTATGTCTAGCTTAAAGGAAGATGGGGAATGAGTTCTGTAGCTGGCTGGAAAGTCAGTGAAGATATAGGACTTCTTTTATTAAGGAAAGTGGAAAGACTGGATATTTGGAGATAACTTGCCATCTCTGCCATACCGTGAGAATCAAGAGACTAACTTATGTTAGTCACTTTCAAATATAGAAATTATAGGGAAGGGCTACCCAAAAGTGGCTAATATAATTATACAATAGTAGAAATGTTAAACAAATATTTTAAAAAGACAAGAAATGTTAGGATGCCAGATGAACTAGGTGTTAGACTGTGAAGACTGCAAAATACACAATTATTGCTTTCACACATGGACATAAAGTCTCATATTATACAACATTTGTCCTTCATCGATCTTACAAGTGAGTGATCAAATCATTATTGACATTTTTCAAAGGACAGCTTTCTGGGTGAAGGATACTGAAACAAGTTCCTAGTAGTTCAAGCCAGTAAGATAGCATTTTGTAGTTTACTGCTACAGCAAGCCAGGGGTGGATTAGTGGCTTGAAAGAGTAAATAATCTTTCATGATGACCAGCTGGAGACCAGTTTCTAGAGAGGGAATATTTTGTCCACAGAGGAACAAAAAGTTGACTGCATAATAATGGAATTTATTGAAATAGAAACTATATACTCATTTTATACATTTATTCATGTTATCTATTAGCACGAATATCTGCTTTTTGACATAAGCAGACATTTCTAATTTTTGCTACTGTAACACAGTTTATATTAACTAAGATGATCCTGAGACAGGCAAAATTGTAAAGTTTTTAAAAGGGTCATGATAGGTTACAGGTTTTTAATTATCCCACACCTGGGTTCAGATTCCAACTATACACTGCAGCCCTTCAACCTACCGTGCAGAATCAATATAAGGATAAAATTATGGGATATAATTTTGCAAGACATGAATTATGTAGCATGCCCAGCATATAAGTTATACTAGACGTTTACAATAAGGATTATTTATTTCCCTTATTTCCCTCATTTCTAACTTATCTAATAACTAATTTTGTTCCCCATAGGATTTAGTGTATAAAGTACATCTTATTGTATCAAAATTCTTTGAGTATTTCCTGATTTAAACATGATATATATATATATAAAATAATCTCTCTATCAACCAGAACACAGCTGTCTCCACCAATTTGAGATAACAAAGGATTACTGGAAGTTCATCTCATCAAAGATCCAGTTTCAGGGACATCAGGAGAAAAGCAGAAAGATCAAGAAGAAGGAATATTTTTAGAATGCAAAGGGTAACTGACATTGCAGAATCAAAGGAACAATTTAGTAATAATCCCTGATTTGGGTTAGAGCTGAAGAAAAGATATCAAAGATTAGAAGTAAGAAATAGAATGACAAGCCTCAGTCATAAGCAGAGGCAAATGTTCCATTTGGCCCCAGAATTGAGTGGCATTGCTATCATTTGTCTTTCAGAAAGATGTCAGGTTTTAGAGAGTTCAAATATGCTCCAGACAGCATTTTAATTTTCATTATTAACCCAATATAGAACTACTATCAACATGTACATTCTTGATAATGGCTATATTATCAAACATTAATTCCATGAGTTTACTATTCATTTCACAGATTAATAATTTCCAAAACCTACAGTCTTCAAAGAATTTTCCTAAATTTTATTGTCATCAAGATACGGCAATGAAGGCAAGTCTGACCTCTTACCGACAGTTCATGATGTAGATTTCCATCTCATCTTCCCTAGAATTCAGTGCGTTACACTGTGTCTGAATTTTTCTGACTATTGTTATATGTAGTAGGTTCCTACAGTTTTTGTTTATTTACATAGTCATTCTCATATTCTAGTTTGAGTTCTGAAATTTCTGGGGTCTGATAAAAATTCATGAAGAACCCTGGGGATCATTTTGCTTTAAAATTAGATTATATTTTTATGTTTTAGAGGATTTTTTTCCCTTCTTAGATGTGTTCGGGTTCTGTATAATGTTTTAAGGAGTGTTTGGCTGAAAACCTAAGACCTCATGACCTTACCAATAGTGTTGGGAGTAAAAACACAAGCTTTAGAGTTGAACAGATACGAGTTCTAATCAGACTCCACAGTTTATGAGTTGTATGGCCCTCCCTGAGTCTCAGGCATCCATCTTATATGGAAATAATATATTGAAGTACAAAGGACCAGGTCTTGTGCCCAGTTAGAGCAAATGCTTTGGAAGACCTTCCCACATCCTCAGGGTGTCACCAATGCAATGCACACTCACCCAACTTGCAACAATGAGATCCTGCAGCCCTTTCCCTGAGCTATTTTCCTCCTAGAGCCCGGAAAGCAAGCCCAGTCCCCATCTCTATCCCCAGCTGCACCCTCAACTAATGAACCAGGGAAGGCAACAATCACCAATTTGGGTGGGATGGCACTGAAGTGTACATTTTATCCTGGCCGCCAGAGTTCCCCAGCAGGACTAAGCACGAGGTTAGCCACAGCACTAACTGGCTTAATCAAGAAACCCTGCTGCCCTGGTTCTCTCATTTTCCCACCCCACTACCAATCTTTCCTGGGATCACTTCCCAGGTGTTCCAACTGAACTCTTGCTGTTTCCTTCTAAATCTGTTCCTGTCTTAGACTTTCAAGTTTCATTAATGGTAATTCTATTTTTCAGTCATTCAGATCAAAAGGCCGGGAATCCTCCTAGACTCCCTTCTCTCTTATCTCCTCTCCAATAAAAAACTGTGTAGGGCTTTACCCTCTGTTTGGGGTATGAATCTATACATACCCCTCATCTCTCATCTCCAAGGCCATTCTTCTAATACCCTGTTCTAAGGCTGCTACTGCCTGGGGACTGATATGGTTTGGCTGTGTCTCCACCCAAGTCTCAAATTGAACTGTATCTCCCAGAATTCCCACGTGCTGTGGGAGGAAGCCAGGGTAAGGTAATTCAATCATGGGGGCCAGTCTTTCCAGTGCTATTCTCGTGATAGTAAATAAGTCTCATGAGATCTGATGGTTTCATCAGGAGTGTCCGCTTTTGCTTCTTCCTCAATTTCTCTTGCCACTGCCATGTAAGAAGTGTAAGAAGTACCTTTCACCTCCCACCATGATTCTAAGGTCTCCCCAGTCATGTGGAACTGTAAGTCCAATTAAATCTCTTTTTCTTCCCAGTCTTGGGTATGTCTTTATCAGCAGCATGAAAATGGACTAATACAGTAACTTGGTATTAGTAGAGTGGGGCATTGCTGGAAAGATACCGGAAAATGTGGAAGTGACTTTCGAACTGGGTAATAGGCAGAGGGCTGGAACAATTTCAAGGGCTCAGAAGAAGAAGGAAAATGTGGGAAAGTTTGGAACTTCCTAGAGACTTGTAGAATGGCTTTGCCCAAAATGCCAATAGTGATATGGACAATAATTAGGTCCAAGCTGAGGTGGTTTCAGATGGAGATAAGAAACTTGTGGGAAATGGAGCAAAGGTGACTCTTGTTATGTTTTAGGAAATAGACTGGCAGCATTTTGCCACTGCCATAGAGATTTGTGGAACTTTGAACTTGGGAGAGATGATTTAGGGTATCTGGTGGAAGAAATTTCTAAGCAGCAAAGCATTCAAAAGGTGACTTGGGTGCTGTTAAAAGCATTCCATTTTAAAAGGGAAACATAAAAAGAGCATAAAAGTTCAGAAAATTTGCAACCTGATGATGCAGTAGAAAAGAAAAACCCATTTTTTGAGGAGAAATTCAAGCCAGCTGCAGAAATTTGCATAAGTAGCAAGGAGCCTAATGTTAATCCCCAACATCATGGGGAAAATGTCTTCAGGTTATGTCAGATACCTTCATGGCAGCCCCTCCCATCACAGGCCTGGAGGCCCAGGAGGAAAATGTGGTTTCGTGGGCTAGGCCTAGGGTCCTCATGCTGTGTGCAGCCTAGGGACTTAGTGCCCTGTGTCCCAGATGCTCCAGCCATGGCTCAAAGGGGCCAACATAGAGCTCAGGATGTGGCCTTGGCAGCTTCCATTTGGGGTTGAGTCTGTGGGTGCACAGAAGCCAAGAACTGAGATTTGGGAACCTCCACCTAGATTTCAGAAGATGTACGGAAATGCCTGCATGCACAGGCAAAAGTTTGCTGCAGGAGCAGGGCCTTCATGAAAACCTCTGCTTGGGCAGTGCAGAAGAAAAACGTGCGGTGTCTGACCCCGAAAGAGTCCCACGGGAGTTGTGAGAAGAGGGCCACTGTCCTCCAGTCCCCAGAATGGTAGACCCACTGACAGCTTGCACCATGCACCTGGAAAAGCCGCAGCCACTCAATGCCAGACCATGAAAGCAGTCAGGAGGGAGGCTGTACCCTGCAACGCACAGAGGTAGAGCTGCCCAAGACCATGGGAACCCACCTCTTGCATCAGCATGACCTGGATGTGAGATCTGGAATCAAAGGAGATCATTTTGGAACTTCAAAATTTGACTGCCTGCTGGATTTTGGCATTGCATGGGCCCTGTAACCCCGTTGTTTTGGCCAATTTCTCCCACTTGGAATGGCTGTATTTACCCAGTACCTGTATCCCTATTGTATCTAGGAAGTAATTAGCTTGCTTTTGATTTTACAGGCTCATAGGCAGAAGGGACTTCTCTTTTCTCAGATGACACTTTGGACTGTGGACTTTTGGGTTAATGCTGAAATGAGTTAAGACTTTGGGGGACTGTTGGGAAGGCATGATTGGTTTTGAAGTGTGAGGACATGAGATTTGGAGGGGCCAGGGATGGAATGATATGGTTTGACTGTGCCCCCACCCAAGTCTCAACTTGAATTGTATCTCCCAGAATTCCCATATGTTGTGGAGGGACCCAGAGGGAGGTAATTGAATTCATGGAGGCTGGTCTTTCCCATGCTATTCTTGTGACAGTGAATAAGTCTCACAAGATCTTATGGGTTTATCAGGGGATTCTGCTTTTACTTCTTCCTCATTTCCTCTTGCTGCTACCATGTAAGAAGTGCCTTTTGCCTCCCGCCATGATTCTGAGGGCTCCTCAGCCATGTGGAACTGTAAGTCCAATTAAACCTCTTTTTCTTCCCAGTCTTGGGTATGTCTTTATCAGCAGTATGAAAACAGACTAATACAGGGACAGTATGACCTCATCTCCTACTAGTCTTGTCTTTTTTCTCCACACTGCAGCCACAGTGGCTTCATCATTGTTCTAACATGCGAGACATGTTTCTGCTTCATGATCTTTGCATTTACAGCCTCTCTGCTTGGAACAATTTTCCCCCAGATATCTGTATGGTTAAGTCCACACACTTCTCCACGTCTTCACTTGAACATAACCTTTTCAGTGAGTGAGACCCTGCTAGGCAACCCTTTCTCAAATTGTACACTCCCCCTACCACCAGATCTTTCCTCTTCCTCCCACTGTTTTCTTTTGTTCTCTTTGGAAATTATTACAGTTAACATGCCATATGCATTTTTATTTTTCGTTGATTGTCTGTCTCAATTACTAATGAGGACAAGGTTTTTGTCTGTTTTGTTCTTTGCCAAATTCCCTGAACTTAAAAAAAAAGTCAGTAAATATCTGAATGAATACATAAATCAAAGAAAGATCTTCCTGCAGTCAAATGCTATCAGCTTAGCATTGGATTGTTAGAGTTTAATCTTCAATATAAACAAGAGATTTTGATCGGGACCTCTTCCTTCCTAATCAAAGGCCTAATGCCAATAACTCCTGCATTCTCTCTTTCCCTTAATTCAGACTAATGCCTATTATTCTTCAATTTCCTACCATGACAAGGGATTCCCTTAATCCCTTTTAATGATATTTTATAAATCTAGTTTTTTCTTGTACACATCCTTCCCTTATACTCTCAAGGAAGTCACAGTTTATAGGGCATACTTTCTCATTTTAGAAAGCACATTACCTTTACCCCCAATGGAGATGTTGACCAAGGTACTCAGTGACCCTGAACATTTCATTATAAGTCCTACGTAGCCTGCCAGCTGTGGAATTAAGGCTGCCTGGTACATGGTTCCTAGGGTCACCCTGAGGACCCTTGTTGCAGACCAGAGTTGTGTTGACAACCTGCCAGTTCTCTGGCACACTTATGCTCATTTAAACGGGTACATTTTGTTCAAGGATGCAATTTCACCCTTGATTTCTTTCAGATCCCCTGGGTAGATACCATCTGGATCAAGGGATCCTTTTATATTCAGGACCACTAAGTCATAGGGCATTCTGTTGCCTTATCCAAATTTAATTTAGTTCCTCTGTTTTCTCTGTTTCAAAAGACTGCAAAGTTTTCATCATATATTTTCTTAATGAAGCCGGGAGTTGGTTGGGTCTCTCTTTGTCCTTTTCGCCCATGAACTCTATCAAGTGGTCATGATGAGTCTCCAGCCAGCTCTGTGTTTTTCATGTGTTTTTAAAGCATTTTTAATGATTGTTTCCCCCCCAAACTATCCAAAGTTATCTTGCCCTTCAATCTCAACACAAGTCCTTTCCCTCAGCCTGTCTTTATCTATCCCTACATTCCCATCATGCTTATAGTGTATGCTACATAATTTATCTTCAGTAATATACGCTTCCCTCTTGTTTCTAATCTGAATTTTTGTGTTATATTTTTCAAATGGCTGATGTCTTGAAAAATGCAAAGAACATAAATGGTATTTAAAATATGCTTCCTGATTTGTAGCCTGTATGATATTAGCCGCACAAAGCAATTCTGGATGGACTCACCATTAAGATTGAAATATGCTAATGGTATTATAACACCTAAATTTGATAAGATGAAGGTGATAAATATAAATATAAATTATGCACCAATAATTTATAAGTATAATAAAATATAAAACATAACAAATAAATATACATATAAATTATTCCTTAAACAGAATTTAAATTTTTCATTTTTCATTTCTATTGCAATGACACTTAGGTAGGTTATAATTAAGAAACAACATATCTACTATATAATAAGTATATCTACTTAATATATATATTATATATAAAATATATAATATACTATATATAAAATTATATAGTAAATATATAATCTACTATAAAATTAAGTAGATTATAATTAAGAAACAACATTTACAACATTTCATTGTAATTGCTACTCTTTCTAGTAAAAAGTAGGTTTTACAACGATTAAGAGTATGCACTGATGCCTTCAATCAAATTATTAACTAGTCAACAGATCATAAATTTAAAATATAAAAAGAAAAACATAATACAATAAGACCTTTACCTGAAGTCATATGCAGAATAACCTTTGATTGAAAATCCAGAATGTGAACCAGAAAAGTAATGGCACAGACCATTTTGTGCTTTAAAAGGATATTCTGAATCTTTCACCAGTTTTACTTGCATCTAAAAGAAAACAATCACTGAAAATGTTTACTGTCAATTGTTTTGTAAATCAAATAGAACTTACTTCACTGTGTCAAAACAGATTCAGTTTCACACACCTCCATCATGTGCATATACTTTGCATTCTTTCGCTTTTCTTTCTTGAGACAGAGTCTTGTTCTGTTGTTCAGGCTGGAGTGCAGTGGCTCGATCTTGTCTCACTGCAACCTCCACCTCCTGGGCTCCGTCTCCCCAGTAGCTGTGACTACAGGTATGAGCCACCACACCAGGCTAATTTTTTGTATTTTTTGTAAAGACGGGGTCTCACTCTGTTGCCCAGGCAGGTCTTAAATTCCTGGACTCAACAAATCCACTTGCCTTGGCCTCCCGAAATACTGGGATTATAGGCGTGAGGCATTTTGCCCAGCCTATACTTTGGGCTTTTCACATTATAAATTAAATCTATCCAGAACAAGCACCTTGTTCTGGATAGCCTAGATATTTGGAGTCAATATCTTTCCTTCTCCCTTACTTCTCTGTATCTTACAGCATCCTTTGTAGATCCTCCATGGATCTAATAACAAGCTTGTCATCTTTCTCCTGACGGTGCTATAGGACAGCTCACTTTCCTCCCAGTGCTTCTGGTTCTGCCAAGTCCTTCAGACTCCATTCGGTGGTTTATACACAGGCAATGGGTAAGCCAAGCATTCTTTCTATCACTTCACTTTTATGCCATTCATATAGCATGTGTCAAATACTTCATAGTTATCTGTACAAAATCCTCCCTTTTTGAATGCTAGGCTAATGAAAGGGAGGAGACTCATAATTCATTGCTGTCTACAATGTGTACAGAGCAGCTCCTGGAATACGTGATTAAAAATGCAACCAATGGATAATGGAAGAGAATTCAGGTTTGGGAAACTCTGGCTTGATGACGTTTTACAGAACCCAACAGCACCCTTATTGGCAAATTTCATGCAGTTGATATCGAATCTGGGACACTGTCAGGGCAAGTCCTAAGAACACTGAGGGACACTGGGGTATACTGAGCAAACCCTACTGTGAGAGGCCGGGGAATAAAGGTACAACTCCATCTCAGCTACTGACTTGGCAACATGATCTCACCTCTCAGGCTTCATTTCTTCATCTATAAAAAGAGATACAGGCTGGGCACGGTGGCTCATGCCTGTAATCTCAGTACTTTGGGAGGCTGAGGCAGGTGGATCACAAGGTCAGGAGTTCGAGATCAGCCTGGCCAATATGATGAAACCACATCTCTACTAAAAAGCAAAACAAAACAAAACAAAAAAAAACACCAAAAAAATTAGCCGAGTGTGGTAATGGGCACCTGTAGTCCTAGCTACTCAGGAGGCTGAGGCAGCAGAATTGCTTGAACCCGGGAAGCAGAGATTGCAATGAGCCAAGATTGCGCCAGTGTACTCCAGCCTGGGTGACAGAGTGAGATGCTGTCTCAAAAAAAAAAAAAAAAAGAGGTAAAAGATTAGTTAGTCTCTAATTCCCTTTTAACCTAACATTCAGAAATTCCATGAAAATAAAAAAATCATATATTCTCAACTTTCTGGGGAATTATGAGATATTCATATCTGCAAAAAAGCATGTATATACTAAGAAATGTCAAGAAATAAATATAAATATTTCTCTGAGGACAGACTTCAGATTTTTCCCCTTTTGATTTCTTGACAATTGCTTTGCCTAGAAATGATTCTTTTTAAATATTCTGATTAATTACTTCAAACTTTGATCATCTACATTTCTGAGCATGGAAACATTATTTAATATATGCGAACAAACTGTCTGAATTTTGAACACACACTAAACAAGCAAAAAAGGAAATAAAGAGTTTAAAAGGCTGAGAGACTAGTCACCTTGTTTAACCAGTTCAAAGCATTGAGAGTAGAGCCTCCATTGCAGCCATAATTAGTATACGAACAGTCAATGACCTGCTGGACACTTAGGTCTTCCAGGGGCTTCCCTTTTATTGCATATGCAGATTCCACTGCCCCCACCACGCTGAAGGCCCAGCATCCTCCACACTGTTTAAAAATAGAAAAAGGGGTAGTATTTATAGGGTTTAAATCAACTTACCAACATCTCTAAATATAACAAGTTACTGAATCAAGTAAGGTTTCCAGATTCTGGAAACCTACACAATATATATGCCTATCCTCTAGATTTTTAAACTGAAAAAAAGAGAAAACCAAAAGTCTCTTCTGAGCATTATTTAATTATTAGTTCATGTTGTCAGCATTATTACTATTCTAAATTTGGCAATGCAAGGTAAGGGTGAATTTTTAGAGACTGAGGAAATACTTGGGCTAACTGATGATCTTCTAAAAGACTATTCAGTTCACTGAATATGTGACTTCTCTTTGTAGGTGGCTTTTCTGCTGGAGAGCGTGTGCTGACTCCCACTCCATCCTTCCATCCCCCTTGCTTTTTTCAGGACACTCTGCTTCCATGGTCATATACCACTTCCATCCTAAGGGTGAGGAGGGGAAAGATGTATGTTGTGCTCATTATAGCTGATGGAGATAAGAGAATTAATAAATATTAATGAATTACTTTTTAGGCTATAAAGATACCCTATTAAGTATGCTTATAGTGGATGCACATGAAATGTCCTAAGGATATAAACCCATATTAGTCATTACTCCAGTATTGGCTGCCGATCATGCTGATAGTGGATCTATTAACTTGCTTTCACTTAACAAACTAGAACAAAAGAATAAAAGAACTAGTCCTGAAAGAAAGAGAGGAGACAGAGGGAATGAAATCAGGGATCATAGGATCCCGTAAAAGGAAGAAGGATCCACAGAGAAGGCAGAGGAGAGTAGATTTGAGATTGGATGAACCTGACATAACCAGAGGGCCATGTGTGGCAGAGTTAGATCAAAAAAAAAAAACAAAAAAAAAAAAAAAAAAAAAAAAAAGGAATGACAATTGGATATCTTTGCAGAGTTACATTTTGAGCAACTTTATGGCTTTAAGTGCTCTTTTAAAGGTTATATCTCTCGTGCCGATGGCATAGTAAAAACACTCACTATACAGCAGGGTCTCCAAACTTCAACAAAGGTGAACACAGGGTGGCTCACGCCTGTAATCCCAGCACTTTGGGAGGCCAAGGCAGGCAGATCAGGAGGTCAGGAGTTCAAGACGAGCCTGACCAACATGGTGAAACCCCGTTTCTACTAAAAATACAAAAATTAGCTGGGCATGGTGGGGTGCACCTGTAATCCCAGCTACTCAGGAGGCTGAGGCAGGACAATTGCTTAAACCTGGGAGGTGGAGGTTGCAGTGAGCCGAGATCACACCACTGCGCTCCAGCCTGGGTGACAGAGCGAGACTATCTCAAAAAAACAAAAAAAGAAAAAGAAAAAAGGTGAATACAAGCTGCTGACACCACCCCTATAGCCAGTTTTAGTCAAGCCACAAGGGCAGTTCCTGCTTAAAAAAAAAAAAGAGTCTCTGGAATATTCCTTTAATTAGAGATCCCTAATTAAAAGTTCCCTCTTTAATACACTGTGGACCATTTTTGAAAGGATTCTATTTATGTCTAATTCACTTGTTATTACAAATCCAGTAATAAAGCAAATGATTTGGTGGTAAAACTTAATGTACAAAAATGAAGATAGAATCTGAGAAGCAAAAATCATTCTAACTAGACATTTACTGAGAAACTGCTGGGACAGAAACACTTTCCATACAAGGGAAGGCTGAATGATCTGTTGAGGTTTCCACTGCAGACAAATTGAGACTATCCACCTCTCGTTACGGGTTTGACTTTCCCTAGTTGGCAGGTGTTCCCTATGCCAACAGTGAGGGGTGCAGACAGGTAGGGGATGTCAGCAAAGCATGCACGCACCCCTCAAACATCTGCCAGCTAGGTGGGTTCACTACGCATTATAGGTCATTCCCACCCACATCTGCTCTTACCACTTTCCTTCCTATTTCAAAGGCACCTCCTTCCACCACTTCAGAATAACTCACAAGCTGCAGCCCTTCCAACTCCCATGTCCTCAGCAAACTTTGAGTCTTTTTTCAAGGTCAATTGCTATATTCATTACAGTATTTACGTATTTCTTAATCAGTAAGCATGTTTAAACTGTGCTACTGTGTCTATTAGCTTTCTGTCTTTTAAAAAATAGGTCATTGATTAAGTTCCTAGGTAGCGTGACCTAACCTCATTTCTCCCATAATCCCTGTCATATTACTGCTCAATTCCGCATAGGTGGTGATTTTCTGGAATATATGTGTCACGTTATGGCTGAACTGACTACTGACTATACTTTTATAAAGACCCACGGATTCAAAGGCATATGATCCTGTGAAGATGGGGGCAGGTTTTCTGATAGAGCTTGCAAGATGAAGCTTGAGAACCCAGGAGATTCAGCCACACTGTTGGTAAATTTATCCATTTTCATTTTACTTTTTCACTTTTTTTTTCTTGAACCATTTAAGCCTTTAATGCTCATGTTTACCTTCTCCAGTCTTCCATCTGCTATTATACAGAAAGCTTGGTATCCGTGATACAGCTACTGGGAAGTATCCCTGAGTTACTGTGTTGGTGGCAATAACAATTAGTAAGAGGGCACAGCTTTAGGAATAAAAGTCAGGGCTTTAACATTTGCCTGTCATTCCTCTAGAGATTCTCCTTTCATTGTCATTTTGGATGACTTAGATATGATTTTCCTGGAGAAATGATGGGTTCCATTACAAATTTGATTAAATTTGACATCAAAGCTGCCTTTCAATGCTTAGATGATTAGAAAAGAAGAGGGATTTAAACTTACCGTCTGCTGGTTTCTCACTTGTGTCACAACATGCTTGTCCCTCCAGTCAAATCTTAATGGCCAAGACACATTGGGGATCGACCTATGTACTTCTGCTGAGTATCTGGGAAACTTGGAAGGTTTGCTTCTTAAATAAATGGCTGAGTAGAAACATAAAATGAAAAGACAACCAATATTATATCACAATGTATCATATTATATGTAATATATATTTGTTATATATAAAGACAATCAATATTACATTATATTACAGAGAGACAACCAATATTATATTAAAAGACAACCAATATTATATTCTATTATATCCTTGGGATTCTTTGGGAGGAACTTTTAAAGAAGAAACAGTAGCCTTCTAGTAGACCTGCTATTTTAGATTTTTCCTTTGTGCTTTTCTATAATATAAAATGCATTCATTAAAAACTACAAAAGAGAATTCCTACAGCAAGGCTGGAGTTGACACATAAAATGACTTGTTTGATAAAACCAGGTCAATAATAAAAGTAAGTATAATTGACATCATTTTTTTCTATCATAACCCATGGAACCATGTGTGCCCTGAACAGAAATAGCACTAGAAAACTGCAGAAGTGATTAGACAATTACCCTTAAGAGCCACATGGAAATGTGCATAATTATAATATTCATTTCTTAAGCAGTAATTAGAAGACAGTGGCCATGAATTTATTTTCTTATGTGAGCACATGGTACATGCCTGACACTTAGTAGGTAAATAGTTAATAAATGTTAACTATTACTCAATTTATTAGATTTACAATTAAATATTTAGCAAAAGTTAAGCAAGCAAATTAAAATCAGGGAATCACTCAAATAGTACCATCGCACCATACCTTTAAACTCTTCAGGAAACAAATAGGAAAACTGATTTATTCCATAGAAGGCGGTGGAGTTTTCACCGGGAGATAAAGAATTCAAGTATCGATGTCTATTAAGGCTTTCCTAGAAGAAAAACAAAAACTATTTCATATCTACTATGTCAGTTTTCCAAAGTGAATTGTGTATAACTAACTTGGAGATATTTTTCCATTATAAAGTTAAAGGTTGATTTCCTTCAGACTACAATGTAAAGTTGTATAAGATATCCATAGGAAATTCATAAACATTTTCTATTAGAATTATTATCTAATTTCAGGCATTTTTTGAGGCTGAGAAAAGTGTATTTTATTCATTTATAATTCTCCATCACCAGGCTTGTTGCAAGCATTCCATATACAGCTATTAAAGTATTGACATAGTGGGAAAAAAGAAATAGACTGCAAATAAACACTAGACACTAGAAGCAAATTGTCACCTATAGACATTCATTCATGTGGTTAAACAATTATGAATATGGAATATGTCCTCTTCACCTTTGTGTTTCCCAGAACTAAGTAATGAAGCATGAAAAACAGACTGAGTAAATCAATCAATCAATCAATCTGATTTTATTAAAGCTTTATAGACATCTCTATGTCATGTAGGGTACAACGGCTCTGTGACAGATGCAATTCTGGAAATATTTGAAGACAGCCTGGTTTCTCTATCTGGAGGGGAAATGTGACCATTATTTACTGATTTCTGAACTTTGAATTTTGTGATAATTTATCTTAAGCTTATCTTTTATATAAACATGCTTCAGTTTTGTAATACTAACCAATTACGTAGAATAAATAAAATTTCAGGGGGCTATCAATTTGGTACCTTTTCAACCCTAGTGCTTCTAAGTATTTGTCTATGTACTTCTGTGTTTATTGTATGTCTGTCTCAAAAACCTATAAGCAAAATGATGACTCCTTATATGTCTTATTCCTTACAGTGATACCCTCACATAGCACATGCCTGGCACTCAATAAATCCTTGATAAGTATTTGTTGGTGAATAAGTAGATAAGTGACATTTTCCATATCATGCCCTTAACAACTTTAAGCTGTTTATTTTTAAGTAAATTATTTCTGGAACTTGTCATAATCTTATTTTTTTTTTCCTTCTGTGCATACCTAGGAAGATTGCTAATCAACAAATTTAATAATAAAGTTTTTGAGGTACTTAAAAATAATCTCGACGAAGCAAGGCTTTCAATATAACCTGGATATATAAATGTAAAAATAGAACTAGAATACAAAGTAATTCTGTATATGGCAAATGACAAATGTAAGCCAGAAATTATTAACTGCTAAGGAATGCAGAGGATTCATTCAATCAGTAAGTACCGCCTGGCCATCTTTGTGAGCTGGAGTAGTCAGGAAGGCACTGAGAATGCAGGATGTTAAGAATGCACAGGAGAGAATGTGGCAGCAATGAGAATGCCTCTCAGCCTTCTTTCTATAGGGAGTTCAGTTGCTGCTAGTTGAATCTCCATGATCACACCAAGGGAAGCCACAGTTCTTACGGGCTGCACCTAGCTCATGACTGAATGCTAAGGCTTGCTATTTGGGGGACTAATGGGACTCCCCTGAAAGCTGGTTTTTGATCAATGGCTCCCTGATGACCTTGCCAAACCAAACTTTCCTTGGACTGTGAGACAGCATGGAACTCTTCCCCAACCTTCCTTCCCTTTTTCCTTCACTCAGGGTTAGAATTACATTGCAATCAGATAGCTCTACCTGGACCTCTCCCTATTCGTTCACAGGAATTGCTCCTGTGATTGATTAAAAAAAAAGAAAAAAGAAAAAAAGGCTGGGTGCGGTGGCTCACGCCTGTAATCCCAGCACTCTGGGAGGCCGAGGTGGGTGGATTACCTGAGGTCAGGAGTTCGAGACCAGCCTCACCAACATGGTGAAAGCCTGTCTCTACTAAAAATACAGAAATTAGCTGGGCGTGGTGGTTCATGCCTATAATCCCAGCTACTCAGGGGGCTGAGGCAGGAAAATCATTTGAAGCCAGGAGGCGGAGGTTGCAGTGAGCTGAGATCACACCACCGCACTCCAACCTGGATGACAGAGCAAGTCTCCAACTCAAAAAAAAAAAAAAAAAAAAAAAAAAAAGAATGAGAATACATGAATAACCAATTTACCAATATTAGAAATGAAAGAAGAGCCATGATTACAGATGCTTCAGGCATTAGAAGAATAATATTTTGACAACTTTATGACAATAACTTGGCAAACTGTACAATATGGACAAACTTTTTGAAAGGCACAGATAGCCAAAGATGAAAGGAGAAACAGAAAATTTGAGCAGCCTTTTATCAGCTAAAGGCATTAAATTTGTAAGTGAAAACACTCACAAAGAAAACTTCAGGCCCAGATGGTTTTTTGGTGAACTTTATACAATGAAGAAAGAAGTAATACCAATATTATCCTTTGAGAAAGTCAAGAAGAAGGGAACAAGCTGCAACTTAAATAAGAACAGTGTTACCCTGATTCTAACAGAAAAATATATCTAAATAAAATAGAACTACATACCAGTATCCCTCATAAATATGCTGTAGATGCAAAATCCTTCACAGCAAACCAAATCTAGCAATATATGTAAACGACAATACATTGTGACCAAGTGAAGTTTATTCAGAAATGCTAGGTTGGTTTAAAATTTCAAAATCAATCATCAGTATGGTACATCATATTAGCAGAACCAAAAAGGAATATACCACACACACACACATGCATGCACATGAGGTACAGGCTGGTACACCCTTTGGAGATCCTTAAAATTACACAAATTGTTTAATTAAGAAAATCTAATTCTAGGAATGCATTTTAGACTCTTGATTGTAGGCAATGCTATACATGTTCGTTCTACACATGTGTCTGCTAGGGGAGGCAGTAGTTGAGCCATATACTCTATTTAGTTGGAGAGCTAATGCAAGTTTATCTTACTAGATCATTTGTGACATCAACCAGTAAAACAATATATTGCCACTCAAGTTGGCAAATGCCAGATGAAACAAACTTATATATCGTTGTCAGGGAATTCCCCTGTACTTCTCTTAATTTTTGTGTTGCCTTATGAGTGTCATTTCACCATCCAAAGTTTAGGTGTTCTGGTTGTGAAGTAGTTATAATAACACTAATTTAATAATGAAATAAACTAATATATTATGTATTTATTTTATATATTTATGTCCCTATTTTTCAATGATGATTCCAGTAACAGTTACTTGGTTTTGGTCTTGTGCCATGTGTTTGAAAAGCCAAATATCTCCACATATATTTTCTATTTGTTATCACTTGATATACTGTTCTTTGATCTATGTCAGCAGCACCAGCATCTGCAGGACTTCTGAAAATGTTGCTGTCTTCCACTTGTTCAACCAGGAGACAACTTCTAAAATAATTCCATTTGCCATTCCGGTGTAATGACTCCTGTCTTTTGACAGCTCTCCATAGCCCATGTCAGGGCTACTCAATCTTTATACGAATTGTGGACTTCTTGCCAAGAGCAAAATACTCTAAACCACTAAATGCTCTGCTTCCTCTTCTCCCTACCACTAATCCCTACCCACTTGTTTTGATTTTGCAAAACCATTAATAACATTAAAAGTACTTTCCTGGCGGCTTCTGAACACAGCATAATAATAATAATTATTATTATTATTGTTGTTGTTATTATTTTGAGATGGAGTCTGGCTCCGTAGCGCAGGCTGGAGTGCAGTGGCGCGATCTCCGCTCACTGCAAGCTCCGCCTCCCTGGTTAACGCCATTCTCCTGCCTCAGCCTCCTGAGCAGCTGGGACTACAGGCACCTGCCACCACGCCCGGCTAATTTTTTTGTATTTTTTTTTTTTTTTTTGGTAGAGATGGAGTTTCACCGTGTTACGCAGGATGGTCTCAATCTCCTGACCTCGTGATCTGCCTGCCTCAGCCTCCCAAAGTGCTAGGATTACAGGCATAAGTCACCACGCCCGGCCTCTTTTTAATTTTGCAACAATTTGAAATGTCTTACCATTGCTGTGCAACTTTTGGCTATATACTCAACCTCTCTGAGCTTTATTTCAATCAACAAATGGAGTAATACTGATCTGGCAGAATGTAAGGATTAAATAAAATAGTAATTGGAAAACACATATTACAGACTGGCAAAATAAATGCTCAGTTAAAATACTCTCATCCTCTATCTTCCTTTTCCTTTAAACAGAGTATTTGGATTATAGAAATGGCGCTCAAAGACCATACTTTCAGATTCACTTGGAGCAAGTATTTCTCATGGCATTAGAAATGAGGATCAATATTATCTATTGAAAGCAATCTGTTGCTTTCATGGTAAAATAATACTATCAGTATATCCAAGAATATTTATTCTCATTTATTTATTCTTTTATTTGCTATACACTTATCAAGTTGACTAACCTGGGTTTCGCATCATTTAAAATTTAAAAAGACCTATATTTCATTTCTTGAATTATCAATTCTCTTAAGTGACTTTTCCGGTCTCTCTTGATTCTAGCTATTAAAGATTTCATAGAAGCATCACATACTGAGAGTTTGTATGAGGCCTTTGCTGCTCATTACATCCAACATCCTCCGGTAGGTAAAAGATCAGTGAGCAGATGTTCTTAACAGAGGATATGATAGTGAGCACATTTAGAGTAGCCGTCTCTAAAGTCATATAGAATATTAAAGACCTGAACCTTCACTTCATTTATGAGAGGAAAAACGTAAAGTTTTGATGAATACATAGGAAACATCTCATTGATGCTTTTGAAAAGTGCAGATGTTTAAAAATTAGACCTTACATGAGAAAAATTAGAGCTGGTAAGTCAGAACAGTCTTTGAACAGATTTGGTGAAAAATAACTACTTTCACCTTTTTGTTGTTATTGTTGTTGTTAAATGTGTTTAATTGAATGAGTTACAAAGGGAGATACCAGATTCCTGAACAGAAGGTAACTCAGAACCTAAAAGCTTGAGGAAATTATCCTGATTATAAAACCAGGAAAAACGTGTCCCTTGGGCATTGGTAGATCTTGTGCTACTAAATCTCTATTTATTACAGGTAGAACCTCTCAACTTTATACCTAGGA